ATTTCCAGTTATTTGGAAATTAAACTGCCTATAACTTCTCATTTTATTTTTTAATAACTTCTCATTTTATAATTTTGAAGAACAAGTCCTTTCATTGATGACCATTTAAGCTCTTTGCTAGCTTTCTTTTTCAGAATTATGTGAATCCTAGACATAATTGTTCATTATACAAATTAAAAGTAGAATATTAAATGTGTTTTATGATTATTTTTGTAATTGGACCATTTCTGCTTATCCATGTAATAATTTTCTTCTGTTTTAATGATAGACGGATTCTTAGTTCTGTGGAAAAGAGCAGACAGAAATATAAACCAGCTTCTCTCACTGTGGAATTTGTTCCTTTCTTTTATCGTAAGTACAGTAATGCACTAATTACTTTCACTTTGATTTGCATTTTACTCTGATTGTTCTTATTCTGAATCTGACCTTAGTTCACCTTTATGGATTTATAAGCTAAAGGTTAAAAACAGTCTCTGGAGTAATTTGTTTTTGGTGATTGTTTTCACTTGGTGTTTTTCTGTTAAGAGCTGATTTTGTGTGTGCAAGCTGAATATTTTACTGATGGTAGTATATTTTACACTCTTATTTGTTTATTTTTATTTAGTAGAGGAACTACAGGGTCTCATTGCACAAATCAGACTCAGTGATCCTCCTGTTTTCAGCCTCCCAAGCATTGGGATTACAAGCACATGTCATCATGCCCAGTCTCAATTTTTGTCTCAGTGCGCCCCTGGGGTGGGGATGGGGCAGGTACAGCATGTGGTGCTGGGGATCAAACCCTGGTCCGTGTGCTTTGCCTAAGCAGGCGCTTTAGTCCACTGATCTATCTGGCCGGCCCTTACAATTTTAGAATTTTTAAGGAGATATATATGGACCTAGTTTTCTTTTTATAAAAATTATTAGACTGATTTTAAAATACAGAAACATTTGCAGAACAGAAAAGGTACACTGGGGCTGAAGAGATGGCTCAGTGGTCTAAAGCACCTACTTGGAACAAGCTTGGCAAAGCACAGGGACCACGGTTTGATCCTCCAGCACCACATGCCAGCCAGCCGCGCCCCCTGGTGGGCTGAGCTGACCACACACACACACACACACACACACACACACACACACACAATAAATAAATGTTAAAAAAAATTAAAAAAAGAAAAAAGAAAAGGTACACTGTGTATATTCTCTGGGTATATTCAGTATTCAGTTGTTTCAGATCTTAACACATTGCCATATTTACTTTAGTTCTCCTTTATTTTTCCTGTGAAATAAAACTTGTTTGCTTTGTGAAAATCATTGCATTGCCCACTTTGCATTACCACTAGTAATAAAATTGACTTTATTAGATGATCAAATTAACATTTCCATGTTAAAACGTGCCCAGAACTGGACTCACAGTAATGGAAACCCTGCATGCTAGTGAATTAGAATAAATTATTTCTGGTCAGCAAGAGTTTTTGCTGCAGTCCAAGAGCTCTTGTTTTGTCCTGTCAGTGAGGTTATGAAAACAAACTGGTGGATGAATATAAGGCTAGTTTGACTTAAAAGCACAGTATTTTATAGAACCCTTTATATCTTATTTTTGTTTTTGAGACTTAGTCTTTTCTTTTTCCAGAAGTGTTTTATGTTTGTTCAGTTTGTAAATTGTTTTTAATTGTACTTTTCAATTATTGCAGTATATAAAAGTATTTTTGTATAAAATGTATTTTTGTTTATTGATCTTGTATCCTATGATCTTTTTAAATAAATTAATTTGTAAATTGTAGTAACCTTTATATATTTCCTTAAGAGTTTATATGTATATATTCATATATCTACGAAATAGAATTTTCCCTTCCAAACTATATGCCTTTTTATATTGCTGAGTAGACGTAGTGGGAGAAGAGACTCGTGCCTTTTTCCTGCACATACAGGGGAAATGTGGCATTAGCTTTGAATTATTATTATTATTATTATTATTATTATTATTATTTTGGAGACAGGGTAGGTCAGTCTGGCCTTGAGTTTATTGTGTAGCCCAGGCTACCTTGGAGGTCACAGTGATTCTCTTGTCTGCACTTCCTAAGTGCAGCAATTATAGGTGTGCACCACCACACACGGCAGCTATAGATTTTTAAATTGATATCCTTTATTAAGTAGAAGAAATTTTATTATGAATACAGACTTTTTCACATTTTTACTTCTATTTGAGATGATTCATATATATATATATATATATATATATTTTTTTTTTTTTTAACCTGCCTCTTATTTGCTATGTAGATTGAGTTTTTGATTTTTCTTTGTATGTGTGGGAAGGGCTATGTTTTTTCAAACTGAATCTTGCTTTGTAGTTCAAACAGGTGTAGAACTCACAGTGATTCTCCTGTCTCTCTCATCCTTCCAATAGCTGGGATTACAGGTGATCATCACCTGTTTGCTTTTTGAGATGGGGTCTTGCTATGTAGTTAGGCTGGCCTTGAACTTACTTGAACACAGATGATCCTCCTGCCTCAGCCTCCAGAGTGTTAGGATTGCAGGCGTGGCTCACCAGGCCTGGCCGAGCTTTGATTTTTGAGTGTTAAATTAACATTGCATTTTCAGACTAAACTCTTTGGTTATAATTATACTTTTATATTGTCTACTTTATATAATTTGTATTTGATTTGCTAATATTTTATTAAAGATTTTTATGTCTATGTTCAAGTGGTATATGGATTTGTAGGTGGTGTTTTTTCCTTCTGATCTCTTGCATGGTTTCTGTATCAAGGTAATTGTTCTAATATGCTCTAGCTGCCACCACAAAATAAAAATAGTATAAATTGGGCAGCCAAAATATCAGAAATATATTTTCTCATAGTTCTGAGGGCTAGGAAGCTTTAAGATCAAGGTTCCACCAGGGCTTAGTTTCTAGTGAGATCTCTGTAACTTGTAGATGGTGTCCCTGTTGCTGTGTCCTTATGTGTTAAAAGAGAGATACCTGTGTCTCTTCTTGTTGTGGAAACTTGTAGCAAACCCAGATGGAAAATGCTTTGCACCAAGGAGTTGGAAGGCAACTTTTATTAACACTGGTGGGTTGATAGGATTGAGTCAAAATCATCAGCACTGGCTGAAAGAAAAACAGCAATTTATATACATTTTGTAAGCAAGAAATACAAAGTTGATGAGGGATTAGTTTATAATTGGTTACATAATTGTCATACTTTGTCAGACAGATGTGTCCTAGGCAGGTTTTAAGTGGAGAGGATCATTTATCATGAGGAAAGCCAAGGTCCCAGGCAGGCAAGTAAGATTTAATGTGACTTTGACAGAGCTAGTCCACCCTGGGTGTATTGTCCTTGAGGTAAGCTAGTAGGAAAGAATATTTGTATAGGCCATTGTGCAGTTGGTCAGATGGGGCTAAGTCAATTTTATCTCTGAACTACAGCAGTACAGTTAAGGCTAGTTGAATCCATTGGCCCAGTTATGAAGCTATAATTTTGAATTTTCCCCATTACCTTCTCTCTTCTTACAGGGCATCAATTTTACAAGCTTCACTCTTAGGATCTCATTTAACCTTAATCACTTTGCTCCAAAGCCATATCTCTTATAGACATGTGGATGGGAGTTAGAGCTTTAATATATGAATTTCAGAGAGACAGTTTAATGACCATGTATTATTCACATGTTAGTGATGTGTTACTGTATATATACATTAGATGGCTACAGTTTTACTAGGTGCTAGGCATTTTTCAGCTCCATTCTAATCTTTTTTTTTGGTCTTTTTGAGACAGGGTCTCACTATACAGTTCAACCTGGTCTTGAGCTCATTTTTGGGCCCAAGCTGGTCTCAAACTCACAACAATCTTCCTACCTCCGCCTCCCAAGTGCTGGGATTGCAGGCTTGCATCACCACACCTGGCTTCCATTCTAAACTTATGGGTCCGCTGTCTTACATGCATTCTCCAATAGATCAAAGTTGTTATGTAGTACAAGGCTAAATTTAGGATTAGCCAACCATATTCAGGTGATCTGAGTTTTGTTGACTGCATCCAAAGCATCGTAATCTTAAGCCAGTAAACCACAAACTTTTTTTCTCTCTATCAGGCCTGATCAGGGTTAACCTTAGTCATTTCGATCATAGAGGTTCTTCACAACCTGTTTAATCAGTGCTTTTTGATATTGATTCTCCAAGGAACACAAAATGTATGTTACTAACTTTTTTCTCATGGTGGTTAAGTTGTTGGGAGGGTGTTAGTGATGGCGTATTGATCAAATTTGTTTCTTCTGGGGCATTCTTGCAAGATTTTGGGCTGCCTTGAGGGCTGCAGTGGTTTGGATTACCAAAAGTAAGTGACATAGATCTTGTTTTTTCACAACTTTGTTTACTTTTCAGCACTACCTTATCTTTCAGTGCCTTAGTTTTGGCTCCAGCATTGGGAGAGACAAGGGTTTTCTTCACATTTGGTGTCATCTTCATGAAAAGTGTGTCTAAATACAATACCTTTAATTCATTACTTTCTAATATAATTTCGAGATGGTAGAGAGAACATATTAAGTACTATTTTCCTGACCATTTTTGATAATATTCCTCTGTACTTGCGATACTTTTTGAATGCTTTGTCAAATATTAATATAGTCATCCTGAAATTTTATAAATAGAGAGTACAAGATATAGTTTACATCCTTTTAACCTATTACTTTTCTTGTGTGTCCACTTGTGACTGAATGGAACACTATGATTTTCTGTCTCTGTATAAAATCAGAAAATCCTTTAGTCTTCTTGTAGTTTTTGGTCTGTCTTGTGGAATTTGACACTGTCATGTCAAGAATGATACATGGACACAAAATAAGTCCCCTGCATATTTCTGGAGTACTTTTTCTCCGTTATCTTCTTCCTCTCTTCACAAATTCCAGTTGCCTATCCCTCTCCAAGCACTGATTTCTGGCTCCCCAACTCAACAGACATGTTTTTTTGATTTCCGCTTTGTGTATGATAGCTCATAAGGTGTCTCCAAATAGGTGTCTGGGGTGATCCTCAGTCCACTTTTTTTACCTGTTCCTCTAGATCACTGTTGTCTGACCCCATTTCTGGAACCAATATTATCAATTTTTCTAGATTTTTATAGTGCCAATTAATCTGACATAGTTAGGATGACAATTTAATTTTTTTTTCAAAATTTTATTGATAAACAGCAATGAGACAGTTTCAAATCAAATCGGAAGTACAGTTTCAACAAATAACACACTGCATATATTCTTCTTAGTGGTTAATTGCTGTACAAGATGCGGAGACAATTTAATTTTAAATACCTATCATATATTTTACCTTAAAGTTGTTGCTTTTTGGTAAATGTTATGTATAATATTCAAAATAATTCGGTTACTAAGTATAGAGTAATATATGTGAAATTATTTTATTACAGAATTATCAAAAGAAAGGGAAAATGTGTAAGTCTATCAGTAGAGAACTGATTAAGTAAGTGTCTATCACTGTAGTGGTATGTGCTTTCTGGTCATAAAAATGATCAGGCCAGGATCTACTGAGATGTAACAATATTAGAATGTTAATATTAATAGTTTAAAAAATGATGCAAGGGCCAGCAAGATAGCTCAGCAGAATAAGCACCTGCTTAGGCAGGCGCAGGGACAAGGGTTCGATCCTGGTACCGTATGATGCTCTGGCCCTGCCCCCAGGCATGCTGAGCCAGGACGGAGTCCAAGTGTGGTGGTGCATGCCTATAATCCAAGCCCTGGGGAGGCTGAAAACAGGGAGATCACTATGAGTCCGAGCTGCATAATGAG